TTTTCTCTCAGTTCTTTTAATACATGTGATTCAATATTTGTTTCAGATTGTTGATATTGTTGTTGGAAAAGATGAGAAAGGCAGAAAGATTCCAGAATATCTGATCCATTTTAATGGTTGGAACAGAAGGTAAGAACCTGTATGCACAGGTTTCATTTCCTCTATTTTATTCTGTAAAGAAAAGCATTGCACAGAATATCAAAGGACTTTGATGCTTGCACAAGTATTTTGGGTTTTGTGAATGCCTTTAATATACTTGCTCATGTTGATGCTTTGGTCTGTATCAATAAATTTCAGTGGATCAGTTTGACTGCTGTGAGTTTAAACTTTATGGGATGTGTGTTGTCAACATATACTTGTGGCTCCTAGGTTTCCTTTTATAAAATAAGTTTATAGCTTGTTAAATCTAGACCTGAATTGTTTGGTTATCAAGGCCAGTACACGAGTGCAGCCTCTGACTGTGATCTATAGCATGTCTCAGTGCTACAAAGGCTGTTGCATGTTAAGATTTGAGAGATTTCAGCTCAACATGAGGGTTGAAACTGTGTGAATACTGAAGGATAAAAACCTTGTGATACAGATGTTGCTTCTGAATTACATTAAAAGAGCCCTTTTTAGATTTAGTGTATATTGATTCATTAATAATCATGACTGGCATGTATTTGTAGCTGTTAATAACTTTCTTCTGACCTGTCTGTAGCTGGGATAGATGGGCAGCTGAAGATCATGTTCTTCGTGATACAGACGAAAACCGCAGATTACAGCGTAAATTGGCACGGAAGGCTGTGGCTCGCATGTAAGAAATCCTTTTTGGTCTTGGAATGAATGAGATGTTCATTTTCTGGTTCAGACAGAAGTATCCAGGTGTCTTCAAGTTAGTTTTGCCTCTAAGCTTATGCTGTAGATGGTAGGTATCTACTCAGCTCAGTCAGTACGTTGTAGAGAGCTGCTTTTCTCGTGCTAAGGAAGATTCCTCTATATTGTTATTGAGCAATACTCCAAATAACTAGCGCTTAGTAGCTGTGTTATTCTTAACTACTGCTGTGAAATACCTGTATATTGGATTTACATCTTCCCGAAGAAATACACTTGAAAAATAACTTAGGAAAGCCTGAAGTATTTTTCAGCCTGAGGCAGTAAGCTTGGCCATGGCTTGAGGATTGCTTGAGAACATGAATAGGAGGTAATCTACAGACATTAAGGTATCCACTCACAGTTAAGAGTTGTCCAAATTATTTCAATGTCACTTAACAAAAGTCACTCAAGCAAGTTTCCTGTGCATTTGCTTGTAATGTGATTAACTAAGATAAAAAAATTAAATAATAACATCCAAATTTCTATTTATTTTTTTTTAATAAATAACTATTTTATGTGCTGTAGGAGAAGAAAGGGAAGAAAGAAGAGACGTTGCAGGTTGCCGGGTGTTGACTCTGTATTAAAAAGCCTTCCTGCTGAAGAAAATGATGAGAGTAGTGAAAACTGTGAGTTCATTTCATTCTTGGGTAACTGGCATGATGCCTTGAATTTTTTTGAGCTAAGGCTACAGTGCATGCTGTTAATTGCTATTAGGGTGACATGAGAGCACCACAGTCCTATTTGAAATATATGGAGGCAGTTGTATGACAAGCGAGCGCGACATTTCATGCTGAGCATCATCTCTTAAGATACCTCCTTTTTTTGTGTTCAGAGGCTTTTTCTTGTGTCACTTCAACTCGGCTATTCTAATCTGTGATTTCAGAGCTTAATGCTGCTTTGTTTAGTGTAGTATTACTGGGTGCAAGAGGCCCTCTGTTTTCCTTACTTAGTGTTAGGAAACAAGATGCTTTCCCTGCTGTGTTTCTACATATTTTAGGAGGCAAGATGATTTTCTTTTTCTCCAGTCTACCTGGCACAAAAGTCTGTTTCTTGTCAACTGAGTGACTGATTTCAATCTCAAGCTATCTGTTCGTTTCATAGCATTTTTCTTTGTAGCTTGAAAACCAGCGGGAATGCTGGCTGGCACTTAACTGATGTTCTGGCAGCTGTCACTGCACAGATTCAGACCTTCTGATTGAATCATTAGTACATTAATCCCCTGTTAAGGACTAAAGTCCAATAAAAATTGGAGAGATTTGTCAGTGTTCAGAAATGTAGGGAGCTTGTAAAAGGGAGTGTTTTTCAATTAGAGAAGGATGCAGGAGTACTTCCTGTAAACTTCTTGTCTTTAAATTTATCATGTGCTGTAAATAATACTTGTGTGTTTAATTCCTTTAAAATTATTTGTACTTACTAAATACAGCAAACTAGTTGTGGGATTTTGGTTTTTGTTTGTTTGCCTTTTTTTTTTTTTTGCATTGAGAAATTGTTTTGTCTTTACCTCACATTATTACATTGCAGAGGTTAATATGTGAAATCTCTTTTACACAGCTGTAAGTAGTTCTTCTTCTGATGACAGTGATGAGGGAACAGATGAAGAAATAAAAAGCGAAGAAAGTGACATAGAAGAGAGGACAGAAATGGTATATTCATGAGCTCTTTAATAGAAATTGAACATCTGTATTTGAAATCCTGTAAAAATTGAAGTAGATTAAACATAGACCACAACTGGTTAATTAGCTGCAATTAAAAGCATAATTTTCATATTCCTGGTGCTTACTGTGCTTGAATTTTTGTCAGTTATAGAAGATGGCATATTGTAGAATTCTTTGATATTAATGTAAATATATACATTTTTTTTTTTCCTCTCTTTCTGCACATAAGACTTACATGGAGCAAACATAACAAACTAGATGATCCAGATCTGTGGGTTGATCCAGATTTTACTGGTCTGTGTGGGTTGGACAAATCCTAATAGCAGCAGGATCTTCTTGGTGCTTGTATTTTACTGTGAAACAGGCGTGTCAGCTCAGGTCTTAAATTAAAACGTAGAAGACTGACTTCAAGGAAAAAACATTTTCGCTACATTCTTGGAAAGAAAGTGTAGCGTAAACGGTTCTTCTGAAGATCTTTGGAGTCTTACCTACTCTGATGTGGGTCATCTGAAGCACCAAAACCTAACGAATTTCTCTTCTTTTGTGTTAAATACTTAAGTGAATGAGAAATTTAAAGAGTTTTTAACATGAATTTGCAGATGACTTCAAAGCAGTATTATAAAATTGCTTACAAGAAGGCTACTATCCACTTACGAAGTATTTAGTGTTTCATAGAATGGCTCAGGTTGGAAGGGGCCTTAGATATCAAGTAATCCAACCGCCCTGCCATGGACAGGGACGCCTCTCAACTAGACCAGGTTGCTCAAGGCCTCATCCAGCCTGGCCTTGAACATCTCCAGGGAGAGGGCATCCACAGCTTCTTTGGGCAATTTATTCCATGGTCTTGCCACCCTTGTACTGAAGAATTTCTTCCTAAGATCCAGTCTAAACATATTCTTCAATTTCAGTCCATTTCCCCTTGTTCTATCGCTGGACATTCTTGTGAAAAGTCCATCTTCAGCCTTCCTGTAGGTTCTCTTCAGGTATACTTTATATATTTGATTTTTGCGTGACCAGACTTGATTATTACATTGTGTTCTGACTGATTAAATTCTTTTTCACTGATATTCATAAGAACAACCAATATCTTCTTTCTTGTACTGGTTTGTTGTAGAAAGAAGAACAAGACACTCACACAAAAAGGGACATGGAAGAAAGAGCAATAAGCATAGAAATTCCGGAAGTCTTGAAAAAGAAGCTTGAGGAAGATTGTTACTATATTAATAGAAGAAAACGGGTATGAAATAAAAGCTATGAAATAAATGTGCATGGAGTGAGGTGGGGAGGGCATTGGAAATACTTCTTGCATGTAACAACTGGGTTTTTTTGAGCTTGCAAAGGTGAGCTTAGACAGTATGAAGAAGAATAAAGAGAGTGTAGGAAGCAGACTTCTCTGTAGCTAAACCAGTGATTTGTCATTATATTTAAGAATGTAATGTTTTAGTACCCAATTTTGTTTTAGAGTGTTGATTGTTTTTTTAAAGCTGGAAATGTAGTAAGCTTGTTAACCTTACCATATTTTTGTTTCTCCAAATATTTATGAATTGTTGATCTAAAATGTAATTTAAGTGTTGAGGTTAATCATTCCTGAAATAACTTCATGCAATAGAAAATGATTAAACTAGTTGATACATTTCAAGCTCCAGTTTTAGCTTGGTATACTCACTAATTGTTCTTGTAGGACATTAATGTGTTGCTTCTTTTTCAGCTAGTGAAGCTTCCTTGTCAGACAAATATAATAACAATCCTGGAGTCATATGTGAAACATTTTGCTATTAATGCTGCTTTTTCAGCCAATGAAAGGTCTCGGCACCATCAGATGACTCCCCATGCTAATATGAATCTTCATTACGTGCCACCAGAGAAGAAGTAAGTAGTCTTTAAGTCCAGTGCTATTGTCACAAGAGCGACTGTGCATTCCCTTCTGCTTCCAAGCTGTTCACTTCTGTAAGCCTGTATTGTGATGTATGTCTATTTTGGGGGCTTAAAATATTTGACAGATACCTATATATGTAACACTGACCATTTGTTTATCATTGGGAGTCTGAAAAGTCATTATGCAAATGCATCTGTATCCTCTTTCATTGTGTAATTTCTTGTGAATATTGTGACCCGTTTTGGAAGAATGTGTTACTATTGTCTATGTGAAGGATTGCTTTGAACACGCAAGAGTGTCTGATAGAATTCTCTGCTTAAATAAAACTGAACAGGTTCAAATTTCACAAAAGCAAAAAAATTTATATAAACACAGAGAACTGCAAATGCAAGTGCTTTTTTTTTTTTTTTTAATCACTGTATCATCTTAAACCATAGGATCAATATGTAGAGAAACAGTGTGTTTAGAAACACCAATCCTGTTGATTAAAGCTCATTGTGTCTTAGTTGCTGTTTTCTCAGCTGGGCTGTATATTCTTCCACCATGCTACAAATGCAGTGTGTTAATCCTATGTGGAGTTTTCTTGTTTGATTGGGTTTTTTACCTTGTGTTAGAGATTCTCAGCAGTAGATGAGACTGGAGGGGGAAATCTATTTTATCAGAGAGAAGTGTTGACTTTTGTTACCACATTCTAATTCAATGGCCCTTAATTATGCAATTCCTTGCAATATTTTGGTCTGTGTGAGTGTCTTAGTTTATATTAATGTAATCCATTATTTAATAATCATACTTTTCTTCTTTGTAATATAATCTTGAAATCAAGAAGTTAAGTGAGGCATCAGAAAGAGTTGTATGCATGCTGTAATATTTAAAGGTGTATGTTTAAGGGGATTCATCAAAGAAGGTGCTTTAATAAGAAAAATGTGTATAATTTCAGTGATCCATTAAGTAAGAGAGATTCAGCTGACAACCTTATTTTATTACCCTTACTTATCTTACGCAGAAGGTAGTTGACCTTGATTGAATTTCTGCACATGATGGTCTCTTGACCCAATTCATATATAGTGCTTAAGAAAAAAAAAAGGCAGTAGTTTCAGCAGATAGTATGGAAAGGTAACAGGTATGGCATGTATTAACATGGGTCATTGTGGCAGAATCAAATTACTGTTACCATACACACATATGTGCTTGAGACATGAGAGGCGTGAGGTGCTGGAGGTGAACTGGACTCAGTGTTCTTGGTTCTGCTCGTTAACAGCACATCTACTCACCACCTGGCACTGAGAGGCTTTTGTACAAGCCCCAAACTGAAATTCCTGGTAGCCTCTAAATGTCATGCTGTGATCACCAGGAACAAGCCAATGGAAACTGATCTCCAAAGGAAATGTGTCTGGTTTTGTTGGTTCACTGGATATCTCTTAAGCACTGCCTTAACTGCATCTGAGCAGCTAGAGATCAAATTCTGCATATGCCTTTTTAGACAGTGATTCAGTCTGTTAAATACTTACTTCTTCTGACAGGTGCCCCTTTTTGATTCCTAGTTAACCTGGAAAAACAAAATAGTGCTTCCATGAAAAACTAGCTTTTTTTACTGTAAAGTAGATTTTATTAATCCAGTGAATAGTAATACGAGAGAACAATTCTATGTTTTTTGTTAGGCCTTATTAAGCAGACTTTTAAAATTTGTGTTTGACATTGCCAACAGCAATCACTGTCTCTTTAAGTATGCTTTTAATCACTCATTACCTAGTGATGAAGTCAGCATATCATAGTTAAAAGGTGTTAATGATCTGTATTAAAATGAAGTTTTAATACACTACAACTGAAAAATCTTGACATGAAATTTAGAAACTCATCATTTTTCTTTTTTTCTCTAGTGTTGAGCTATGTAAAGAGATGGTGGATGGGCTGAGAATAACCTTTGACTTCACCCTTCCATTAATTTTGCTTTATCCTTATGAACAAGCTCAATTTAAGAAGATGACTTCATCAAAATTCTTTCTTCCCATCAAAGAAAACTCAACAAATACTAACAGGTGGGTTGGCTATATGGAGTCTAACACTGCTTAAGGAAAATGCAATAGAATGTGGTTATATGTTCAAAATAAGATAGTTTCTCACAGATTTTGACTTAAAAATGTTCTTGATAAAATGCTGAGCTTCTGTGAATTGCGTGCCTGAATTTGGGTTCTGAATGTCCGTCTGGTTGACTTCAAAAGGGGTTTGTACTGACTAGTGTAGTGTTTTGCTGCAACTTGGTGGGGAAGAAATATACATTGTAATGTTAATTTACATTCATTAACTCTCAAACTGGAAAATAAATATGCTTCCAGAAAATATCTAAAGGAAAGCCTCATCATGTTGGTAGTTATTGGGAGGAGACTATTTTAAATAAGTGACAAGATCTGTGTAACTATACAGATCTGTTTCAGGGGAAGAGCCCTGATTCTTCACTTCGGTAAAGCTGCCTTTATTTCCTAGAAATCAGGAGGAGCTTTCCCCAAGTCCTCCTTTGCTGAATCCGCCAACGCCTCAGTCAACTGACAGCCAGCCTACAACAGGGGAGCCGGCCACGCCTAAAAGACGAAAAGCTGAACCTGAAATTCTGCAGTCGCTCAGACGCTCTACACGCCATAGCTCTAACTGTGACAGGTTGTCAGAAAGCAGCGCTTCCCCACAACCGAAGCGACGGCATCTTGAGACTCCAGCTTCTATGCCAAAGCTCTTCTTGCACCTGGAAAAAAGTAGGTTTTGCTCTTTAAATAACCACTCTAAACAAAATTTTTAAGTCTTGTTCTTTTTTTTTTAATATAATTTGGACTTGTGACTTGAATGATTGAAGCAGGATTTCATTACTTTTTGTTTCAATTATTGAATCATTCTCTGAAGCTTACACCAAAGAGAGAAATACAGAGCAATATTCTCAGTACTTCAGTACTGTATTTCTCAATAGAATTCAAGTTGCTTCTTTTCTGTGAGTATACTGTAGAATGGCATTTAATGAATTCCAGGGTATGAGGCTTGGAACATTTTAGACACAGACTTTAGTTGTGTTTAATGGATTATAGCTCCATAGAACAGATAATAAAATTTTTTTCTCTTTTCCTTTGTTTTGGTTTTCCTTCCATTTTGAAGAAACTCCTGTCCATAGTGGATCATCTTCACCTATAACGTTGACTCCTAGCAAAGAGGGGAGTGCGGTTTTTACAGGCTTTGAAGGTAGAAGAAACAACGAATTGAATGAGGTAAGGATTTTTGTAGCTGTCATAAATTCAATGACTAAAAGTTCCATTGATGTCGGAGTAGGCCTATATTAAGAAAAGATTTAGTTTGTATTACTTATTTCATCTTTGATTTTGAAGTTCTGCACAGACTAAATAAATTATGGTGCTATACAGATTTCATAGTCAACTTTTTCACATTTTATGTTTAGGTTTTGTCCTGGAAACTGATGCCAGAGAATTATCCACCAAGTGACCAACCGCCACCTCCCTCATATATCTATGGATCTCAGCATTTGCTACGGATGTTTGGTAAACTGATAGAAAACTGTGCTGAATCAAAATTGCTTTATTTGGTTTATTTGGTTTTGTTTTCAGTGACTGTATCAACGTGATTTTTTTTGTTTTACATCTTGGAGAAGCATATATTTTAATCTGTTTAAAACTCTTAGGCTGTTTATAAACGTGCTTATCTTACTGGCTCTGTAAGCCTTCATTTACCAAAAGTAAACAAGGGTTACTTCCAGTACACTATCAAATGTCGTTAAGCCAAGCAGCATTCACTTTCTCAGCGTATTTCTATTTAGTAAGGTTTTGAAAGACCACTGCATAACTTGCAAAGAAAAAAAGATGACTTTGTTTTAGACTTCTTTTTAGTATAGTGGATAAAAGTAATTAGAAGTTGCTTTTAAAAAAATGAGTATAAACATTACTTCTCTTATTTACAGTAAAGCTACCAGAAATACTGGGGAAGATGTGTTTTCCTGACAAAAACCTAAAGGCTTTAGTGAAACACTTCGAAATGTTTCTGAGGTAACGTGACACAAAGTACCACAGCAGTGTTTGCATTGTTATGTCAATCTAAGTGTCCTGGAATAACAAAGAGTTTTTAAAATAAGGTGTTCACTTGCTCTAACTACAAGAATATGATAAAATTAAGATTTTTTAGTAACAATTTGAATAAAGATTAATACAATTTTTTTGATTCAGTAATTCAAATTGAAGGGAACCTGAGCCCCCTATGTAAAGTTTTGATAAACACAGTGCTAGAGAAAACAACTTTAAAAATTCATGTGGTAGTATGTATAGAATTACAAGTCTGTCTTGGTTAAGAAGCATGTTTTATGAAGAAATACGAACACTGCATTGTTATTTTTGAGAGTATAATCTGGGCATTTTGATGTTGCATCAGTATTAGCAGGGGAAGAAACTTGTGGATTAGAACTTGTTTTTAATTATGGTGGGATGGATTTGTTTACTTTTTAAAGAAAAGTTCGTCCTAACTGAGCTTTAGACAGAAAGGTTTCGCTGTTACGCAGTCCATGTCTGACCATGCTAGCTTCACAGCTGGAATCACTGTGGTCATACCTGCATCATAATCAGCTTTGTTAGTCAGGTAGTCTAGTTAATAGCTCTGTGTGACATTGTAGTTGTAGTTAGATATCTGATGTGGCCCCGTATTGTGCAAAATCAGTACAGTGGAAAACATTTTTGCCAAGGAAAACTCACAGGAGAAAGTGGTGTAAATGGTAAATACAAATGTGGAACTCAAAACTTAATTTTAGTTGAAGACTTAAGTAGCCACATACTGAAAAGTAACATAATGTGGCTTTAGCATATCAAAAGTCCTCTTAGAGATCAGGAAGATGGAACCTTTTAAATGCTTTTACTTTAATTGTTTTTTGAAAATAGGTGTCTCAAATTGTTTCTACAGGACAAAGTTTTTCTCTTGAAGCATTTAATTTTCAAGTTTTACTGATTCCTCTTTACATCCCTGATTTGTCAGATCCTTATTAGTATTCAAAATTTCTTAAGTTAAACAGGACAGCATTAGTGCTTATTGTTGGAAGCTGTTTTTGCTTGGAGTGAGTATTAGTTAGGTTGCTTAACAACTCACTGTGAGTCACAGAATCGCTGAGGCTGGAAAAGACCTCTGAGATCATCAGGTCCAGTGTTATGTTCCAACACCACCACACTGGCGAATCAAATCAGTTTTTATGAGACCTCTGCCTGTTGAGATACTTTTGTCATGCTCAGAGCAGGTCTCAGCTCTTCACCATATTAAATACAGCTTTTTCAAACCCATTCCCCATGAGCTGTGGTGAAGTGGGATACATGGAAGGTGGAAACATGTCCCACACCCTCCAGTGTGGGTAGGGAAGTGATTAAACCGAAAGTTCCATCTTACCATCTTGTTAAAATGTGTAGCCATCTATAAATAGAAATAAATAAAATAGAAAAATCACCTGTTTTTTTTTTACATCAGCATTCTTAGGTCAGATAAACTGCTTTTTGAAGCAAATCTTTTGGTAGTTCCCACTTACCATGCTTTGTGTTGTGTCACAGAATGCTCTGAGTACACAGACTGGAATCCTTTTGGAAAACACGTGAGCAGAATTATGCTCCAGTAAAAGGAGGCATTCAGTCCTCAGGACCAGATTACAACTAAACCAGGATGAGCCCCCGAAGGCAAGTGTAGCGTGGATATCGCGTATCAGAGGATAGAAGGAAGGCAGAGTTACTGAATGCCTTCTTTGCCTCTGTCTACGCTGCTGGAGACTGTCCTCAAGAGCCTGAGAGCCCTGAGGCCCCGAGGAAGTCAGGATAAAGGAGGAGTTTGCCCTGTGTGAGGAGGACTGGGTTAGGGATCAGTTAGGACACTTGAACATCCATAAATCCGTGGGCCCTGATGGGATGCACCCACGGGTGCTGAGGGAGCTGGCAGAAGCCATTGCTAGGCTACTCTCCATCATCTTTGGTAAGTCGTGGGGAACAGGTGAGGTGCCTGAGGACTGGAGGAAAGCGAATGTCACTCCAGTCTTCAGAAAGGACAGGAAGGAGGACCTGGGTGACTACAGACCAATCAGCCTCACCTCCATCCCTGGAGAAGGGATGCAACAACTTATCCTTGGCACTGTCTCTAGGCATATCAAGGATAAGAAGGTTATTAGGAGCAGTCAGCATGGCTTTGCCAAGAGGAAGTCGTGTTTGACCCACCTGATAGCCTTTTATGAAGACATAACCAGGTGGATGGATGGTGGCCATGCAGTGGATGTGGTCTATCTGGATATCAGCAAGGCATCTGACACCGTCTCCCACAGCATCCTCATAGGCAAACTGAGGAAATGTGGTTTGTATGACCGAGTAGTGAGGTGGGTCGCTAATAAGGGAGGAAGTCAGAGAGTTGTGGTCAATGAGACAGAGTCTAGTTGGAGGCCTGTGTCTAGTGGGGTCCCTCAGGGGTCGGTACTGGGACCAGTACTATTCAATATATTCATCAATGACCTGGATGAGGGACTAGAGAGCACTGTCAGCAAGTTTGCTGATGACACAAAACTGGGCGGAGTGGCTGACACACCAGAAGGCTGTGCTGCCATTCAGAGAGACCTGGACAGGCTGGAGGGTGGGCGGGTAGAAATCTTATGAAATTCAACAAGGGCACGTAGGATTTTGCACTTGGGAGAGAATAACCCCATGT